CGCTCGCTGAAGCGGCCAGGGCAGCGCGCCGCGACCTGGGCCTCCGAGCGAACTCGACGCAGTCAGCGCTGGCTATCGCCTGTGCGCGCAAGAAGCCGCCGCGCCTGTATGAGAGGGCGTCGGTGGACGTGGCCGCGACGCCCCCCGCGCGAAGCGACGCCTCCACTCCCGCGGTCTCGACCCCGTCCGCATTCTCATCGATGAGCCAGACGAGCGCGTCATAAGGGGCGGTCCTCTTAGGCAGCTCGGCCAAAACGGGCGCCGCAGCGCGGGCAGGCGCCAGGCCGTCGTCTGCGGGCTCGGCAGGCTCTGAGGGCGAAGTAAGCGGAGGCGCCGCCGTGCCCCCAACCACCAGCGGCGCAGCGGGGCCGCGGCGCAGCCGCCGGCCAACGCCCGCGAGCGGCGCCAGCTCCCCCTGATCGCTGATGGAATGCGTCGTGACGGGGGGCTCCTGGCCCGACGCGCGCATCCTCCCGACCGACGGCCTCGCGGGCCTCGCGATCGTCGGCGGGGTAGGCGTCGCCCGAGAACCTGTGGCGGCCGCGGGGTCCTGGGGGCAGCGGCCAGCCAGGTCGAACATGATGAGCCTCTCGCCCGCGTCGGCCTCCATGGAGAGATCCCCTTCGTGCAGGTCGCCATCCGGCGTGAGGATCCACCGGGCCACCACGTCGCAAGCATCACTAAGCCGCCGAGGGCCCATGACGACCCTCATGCCCGAGCCCGTCCCCTGGGTACTTGATGGCCACGGGCCGTCCAGGCTGCAGCCTGCGCGATAACTCCTGCACCGAAAAAAAGCTCGCCTGTGTCCGCGGCCTGCCTGGGGCGCGCCTCCGCGACCGCCATCCCGACGGGCGAACTGCCAGCGCCACGCACTGACCAAACAGATACACACCGACTGGGAGCCGATCGCCATGGCGACGGTGATGCCGATCAGCCAACGTTCGTGCTCGTCCGCCTCGTACGTGAGCTCACAAATGCAGGCCTCCGCACCCACGCGGCGGATCACGTCCTCTAACACGCCAGGGGCAACCACGGCCTCAGGACAGGTCACCCCCACTCGCGCAGCGGGCGCGGGCAGCGGCGGCTCCCGCGAGCGCGGAGGATCGGGCGGGACTGCAAGGCCAGTCCACCACTGACGCTCGGCAACGTCACGGTGGATGATCGTTGGAGTGGCCAGAAGAGCGCCGACCGCAGACTGCATGCGGTGAACTCTTCGAGCCAGGATGGCTACAAAACGACACGATGAAGATCGACGAGACCGACGCCCTAAACCAAGCTAAATCATTCATGTGCACGCACCCCCACGCGTCAGTCTGGGGAGGCAGGTGTGGCCGACCTCCAGTAGCAGTTGGTCGTGTATCTGTCCGGAGGAATCCAGCATCCTGCTGGTGATCACGGTGCTGTGGTTCTTGATTTGGTGGTACCCCAGGGATGCTTGAAGGAAAAGGCGAGATCCAACGCGGTGTTGGGCACACCTCTCGTAAAATGAGATTCCCAAATATCGTCAAACAACTGCGTCAACCATATCACATGACAACTGTGCCCAGATCGCGAGATAACGGCTGTCGGTGTGTTTTGGGAAGTTCCCCTTCGGGTGGTGGTGGGAAAGGGGCACCTTTTGAAAACGACCGTTCGTGGTCTCCTCCCTCAAGTGTTTCGGTCCGCCGGCAATAATGTTCCAGCTTACTCGATAATGCTAGCCACCGTGGGCCTCCAACGACGAGTTTTTGCACTGTGGAGGTGGAAGGTTTGCTGTGTAAGCTGTGGCGTACGCAGTGTTGTATGTTTGTGGTGCGGGCGATTTGCTGCAAGCGCTGTTGTGAATTTTGTAGTGCAAGCTATGTCGTGGGAGATCTGTGGTGTGATCGGTATGGAATGAGCTACTTTGTGAAATCTATGTGGTGCCAGCTGTGTTGGATGATAAATGCGGCGTGAGCTATCTGGTACGAGCTAGGTTGCGTGAGCTATGTGATCGAAAGTCAGCAGTCCCAGCTAGGTGGTCTAAACCATGTAGTGTGAGCTATGTGGTGTAAGTTATGTGGTGTGCGCTGTGCGTTGCAAGCTATTGTCTGAGGTGCAAGCTGTTTGGTGAAAGCTATGTTGTGCCACCTACGTGGTGCAATCTACGTGGCGCAATCAATAAAAGCGGCCGCGGGCGGCAACGTGGCGAAACCTCGCCATACCCACCCAGCGCACGAGGCGGCAACGACGCGGCAACGGTAAGCAACGTGGCGAAACCTCGCCAGACCCTAACGCACGAAATGCCCACGGGGCGGCCACGGGCGGCAACGTGGCGAGACCTTGTCGGGCCCTCCCAGCGCACGAGGCGGCCACGAGGCGGCCTCGGGCGGCAACGTGGCGAAACCTCGTCGGACCCACCAAGCGCACATGGCGGCCGCGAGTCGGCCACGGGCGGCAACGTGGAAACTTGCCGGGCCAAGCTAATCCCACCAGCCCTCTGGGCGTAGGTGGTCTAGAGCAGATCCTCTTCCACCCCTCCCTCTTCCCCCTTGGGGAGGGGTTTACCCCTCCCCCTACCCCCTCCCCTGGACCTGGACGGGGGGGGCCGCGGGTAGTTAGAGCGTCCCAGATGGCCCAAGACGGCTCCAAGAGCGCCTCAGAGAACCCAAGATGAGCTCCAAGATGGCTCAAGATAGCGCAAGATCGCTCGAGATGGCTCCTAAGATGGTTCCAAGAAGCCCAAAGACGGCCCCAAGATAACTCCAAGTGGCCAAACAGCTCCCCAAGGAGGCCCCGAAGAGGCCAAAATCGTCCCAAAACCTAAGGAAAATCAATGATTTTTGCTTTCTCGCCTTTTCGCTTCCGATGGCCATCCGAGGCCTGGAGATGGTTCCAAGATGGCCCAAGAGGGCCCCAAGAGAGCCCCAAAAGAGCCCCAAGACGGCCCCAAGAGCGCCCAAGAGCACTCCAAGAGCGTTCCAAGAGGGGTCCAAGAGGCGATTTTAGGGGCTTCCGAGGGGGGGCGCTAATTAAACCCCCCCTCTTGTTTGATCGATCTCCTCCAAGATGGCCCCAAGAAGCGCCCAGGAAGCCCCAAGAGGTCCCAAGATGGCCCCAAAATGGCCCCAAGAGGCCCCCAAGAGGCCCCCCGGAGGCCCCCAAGAGACCCCCAAGAGGCCCCAAGAGCCCCCCCAGATGCACCCAAGATGCTCCAAGAGGCCTCGGCGAGAATGCCTAATCATTGATTCTACACAGGTTTTAGCCACATGGAGGCCTCTTGGGGGGGGGCACGGATTAAGATGACTCCAAGAGCGTCTGGGAGAGCCCAAAATGACCTCCAAGATGGCTCAAGATATCCCAAGATGTCTCATAATGGCTTCCTCTGTGTGCTGCCCACTTCTCTGATCGAGGCAATTCCTCTGGGCATCGTTTCTGGATGGGCTGGTGGGGATTCGCGAAGCGACAACAATTCCAAAGTCAGACAACAAACCACCCCAAGCTGAAAGCACTGCTTGGTGAACAACCTTTCATCAAACTTTCGGACTCCCCGGGAAGCTGCATTGCGGTTCGGGCCTCGGCCTGGATCCATGTGAACAGATATTGTACAAACTCCTCCTCACTGTCTGAGGACTTCCACCTCCCCCCTGTCGAGACATATGTTTTTTTGTGCTGTTTTAATTGGATTATGTTGCTTATTCGCTTCGAGCATGTCTGTTTGTGTTCTTACGCATTCCCTGGCGACTTTCGGCCTCTACTGGGAAGTCGGCTTTGTTGTTTTCATCTATGGCGGCGCAATATTTCCCCGTGCCCGACCATTACCTGTTGAACTATATCTGTAGCTTCCGTGGTAGCTCCCATGCGGCTGAAAATTGGAAGAGTCCCCGCGGCGCGCCTGTGCAACATGTAGTGGAGAGCGAAAGGTGCTGCGCGATCCTTTATAAAGACCACATTGCTCTGTAGGCGGGCCAGTTCTGGCGGGCCCCCTCTTGATTATCAAGAAGCACAGGCGGGTGTGGGACCGGTGGGGTTGGAAGGGCAAGACCCCAGACAAATAATAGGGAACCCGCTTAGAGGGAGCATCAGTTGTGCGGATAGGGTGTGGTTCCTTGTCACAATGAGGCTCTCGCCTGGGGCTTCCTTCGGGCACATGGCCAGACGTCCAACATGGAGTAACAGCTTCTTAAATGGAAGGCGGATCCGTTTCAACATGGAGCTTCCGTGTGAATTGCGGGACCTGGGGCATCGTCTTTCACAGGGCGCTTCGCGCAATACATACACTTGCTTGCGCGGAGTTCTGAGGAGGCCTTCCTCCAACTCCCTGGCCCTTCTCCCTCCTCGCTTGCTTGCTTACTGCCGATATGCGACGCGGCTGCCAGTCCTAGCAGAAAGCAGGTGCAAGTGTATTCGGAAAACAAGAGACAGCAGTAAAGGACGGCTTCCCCTCCATCGAAACAACCTGGTGCAAGTATCGTCCTATTGTGGAGGCGCTCGCTATGGGGGTAGGGGAAGGGGGGAAGGCTTCTCAGAAGGAGGCTGCTTCTTAGAAGGCGCTGCCCCTGCAATCTACAAATGAGGCCCGCGCCTTATAGGAAGTTGGGGTGCTTCAAAGAAGCTTCCCCCCTCCCCGTACCCTCTTTTCCCGTGGCTGACTGTCTGCGTGCCTCGTACCACCCCAAAAGCGAGGCTGACGATCGGACGCCAGCGGGCCTGCAGCACCCAGAAACACGGGTCAGGGTCAGCCTGCTGCCTACACCCTGTGCGCCTGTTCGCACGATGTCGGCACCTTCTTCTCCTCCTCCTCCTCCTCCTCCTCGTCCTCCTCTTCCTCCTCCTCCTCCTCCTCCCCGTCCTCCCCCTCCTCATCCTCCTCGTCCTCTTCCTCCTCCTCCTCCTCCTGCACACTCCTCCCACCTCCTTCTCCTCCTCCTCCTCCTCCTCCTCCTCCTCCTCCTCGTCCTTCTTCTCCTCCCTTTCGCCCACACTCCTCCCCCTTCCTCCTCTTCCCTGGCCGGCAGGGCCAGCCATTCGCGACCAGGGGCCTGGCGCACCATCGGCGTGATCTCGTCCTCGCCGATTCCCTCCAGCAGCTGCCCGAAGCGCTTGGGGTCGAAGGGCGCGACATCCACCTCGGGCTCCCGTCCCAGCGCCAGCGCCGCGGCAGCCTGGCCCATGGCTGGGCCGTTCAGCAGGCCCCAGCAGCCCCCGCCGCACGCGACCACCGCGTTGCCGACGCCCGGGACCAGCCCTATCACTGGCAGGTTGTCGTCGGACCCGGCGAGGAAGCAGGCGGTGGTCCGGAGGACCTTGGCGCTGCGGAGGCGCTGCACGGCGGCGCGCGCCTCCTGTATGACTTTCTCGATCTCGTCGCGTGGGGGGGTGATCTCCAGCGGGTCGTCGGGCAGCTCTCGCACGGAGGGGCACCCGTTCGCGTAACACTCGTTCGAGCGCGGGTAGATCTCGGTCTGGTGCTGCCCGGACGTGAAGACCATGGTCGCGTCTTTGCCCACAGTGACGTCGTCCCAAATCACGCTGGTGTACCGGTTGGAGACCGTCCTGGTGGGCATGGGGCAGTCGGGGAACCAGCTGGCAGCCTCGTCCGCCCAGGGACCCATGGCGAGGATCACGGAACTGCAGTGCAGCGGCTCAGCTGCGCACCCCTTCTTCTCTAGCATCACGGAGCGGACGGTGTCCCCATCCCTCTCCACGCCTACGACCTTCCCAATCCGCACCTCGCAGCCGTTGCTGACGGCATCCTCCTCCAGGGCCGCCATCAGCATGTACGGCGTGATCTGGGCCATGCCGTCCCGGCCGGCCATGTCCTGGCCGTAGGACTCCTGTCGGGCCGGGCGAAAGGGGGGATAGCAAAGGGGGGGGGTTGAGAATCAGCTCACGTAGCTGATTTTCCTGGCGCCTCCCGGCGCCGGAGGCGGCTATGCATTGAGGAATGGGCCCCTCGGTGGGGCCGAAACCAGCTGCATGCAGCAGATTTCGTACACCCCCTTTCCCAATCCCCCCCCTTTCGTCCGGCCCGATCCTGGTCGAGCCACTCCGGCACAGGCTCCCCCTCCCTCGGGGCCCCGGCGCCGATGCAGCGCACCTTCCGAAAGCCGATCCGCTCCGCCCCGAAGTGGTCGGCGAGCTCCTCGTGCAGTGAGAAGGAGTGCTTCGCCAGGCTGGAGATGGGCCACTGGTGCCAGCCCGAGTCCCCGTCCGTCAGGAAGCCGCCGCCCTTCCCCGAGGAGTGGCACGCGATGGCGCACTTCTCCACCAACGTCACACGGTTCCCCTGCCGCGCGAGGTAGAACGCGGCCGTGAGGCCCACGATCCCTCCTCTGAGGGAAGCAAAGGCTGAATCCCCCGACCCTGCCGGCGTGTGTGAGCGGCTTGTCCGTTCGATTCGTGTCCGTTTCCATGGGCTCGTCTTCGCTTCCCCCCTTTCCCTCGGCCCTCCTCCTCCCGTGCGCTCCAGCGCGCCAGCCCAAACGAAATTGAGCAACGTCGCATTTGAGTCGAAGGGAAGCTCCTTCCCCTTGATCCCTCCCCCGCTGGGAGAGGGGGTGGTCCCTGGGGTAATCCCGGGGGGGGGGGCAGATACGACGCCCCCCCGGGGAGTCCCAGAGCCCAGACAAAACCCAACAAGCGCCCAAATTACCCCCAAGATGTCCTCACGCTCTGTTCATCGCGCCTTGACAGTTTCCAGACCGCCCAAGAGGCCTGCTCACTGGCCCAATCAGTGGTACAATCAATGATTTTCCATTCGTTTTTGAAGGATTTCGGCGTTCTGGCCCCTTCTGGTTCCCGACGTTCCAAGATGGCCTAGGACGCCTCCAACATCGCCCCAGGACAGCCCAAGAGCCCTGCAAGAGGTTCCCAAAACAGCCCCAGAAGGCGCCAAGACGGCCCAAAACGCCTCCAACACGGCCTCAGAGGCCCTCAGGACGGGTGCCCAGACGAGGGACCCTCCTGGCCCCGTCTTCACCGTCCTTCCACTGAACATTGTCCTGCCCCGACTCCCTCCTTTCCCGCCTCCCGCCCATCCTCCTCCGCACCCTCCTGCTCCTCCCCTCTCATTGTTCCAAGCACTCACGTCATCCTCCCCCTGACCCTCCCGCTCCTCCCCCTCCAACCACTTTTCCTCTTCCGCATCCCGCTCTTTCGTATGCTAGTGCTCCACATCATCATCCTCCTCATCATTCTCCTTTTCCCGCTCACCCCCTTTTGCCGCGTGATCCTACACCCGAATGCCGCAAAATCGCCTTCACCTTAACATCCCCATACCCATCCTACTCCTTCAGCCACTCCTCCTCCTTCCTCCGTGTACTCCTTCTCCTCCAACTGCTCGACCTCTTCATCCTACTGCTGAATCCCCCACCCCAGCTTCCCCCTGCTCTTTCTCGTCCTCCTCATCCTCCTTCGCATCTTGCTCCTTCTCTTGCTGCTCCACCGGTTCCTCCTCGTCCTTCCCCCTGTCCCTCCACGTCGTCTTCCTCGTCCTCGTCGTCATCGTCTTCAGGCGCGGCGGCACCGGCCGTAAGGCCT